GCAGTGCTGGTTTAATCCAGTATAGTCACTGCCCCAATTAGACTATATGACTGAACAATGAAGCCAACTCATCATCACTACTAAAGCCAAAAGGGAGAAGAGTACACCCTCTGTTTTTTGGATTCACAAAAATATTCAAATTGCTTTCAGTCATTCAGCAATGACCCTTGTCTCTCTCAGTGTATACTGACAATTCCCAGCTGGTCTGGGTGGCCTCTTTTCCCATTCCCAGAAGCCAAATTAATAACCATGCAAAGACAAATAGGACAGCCATGGCAAACAGACTCCTTTGTGCCATGTTCCAGGCAGTGGGCAAAATGACAGCGGCTTAAAGAGACTATTTGTGAATTAGGCTACTACATCATTGCCTCAGTTTGTTCTGGTCAAACTGTCTGGACTGCACAGCACTTAGAATAGCATAATCTGAAATTTCCAATTTTCCAATAAAATGCCTCTTTTTGAGGTTACATAGCTATTTCCAAGAGAGAAGCTGGTTGAAATTTTAGGATTTAACTTCTTACAATGTTCCATGAACTAAAAATGAAAAAAGGGAGAGCGTCTGGCATGCCAATGGGGGAATTTAGGGAAGCAATCACAGAACAGAAAGTTGTGAAATGGTATCGATTATTCCTTGCTATTGTTACTTTGCAGCACCCTCTAGGAAGTGAGCCACTGTTGGTGGCTCCATATTTATGCCACCTCTCTTCACGTTAAACTCTCATCCTTTCTTTCCCATCTAAGCGCATCAATTTTTACACTATTTTGTCACAAAGATCAAACAGCAGACGACCATAATCAGGATCATTTTCCTCCTCTTCCTATTCTTCTCCCTCCTTGATGATTCTCCGGGGAAGTGACAGTTCATGTTCTGTTGGTTCTACATCATGAAGAATTGTTCATCCTAATTAAATAATTCATTGTGCAATTTAAAGAACAGCCTCCGACTCAAGCAAAAGTACCACTTGTGAGCAATACAAGTTTACAGAAAACTTCTCACGTTGATAGTGTGCAGAGAGTGTTTCTTTATATTTCTCTTTGAAGTGTTTTTTTTTAAACATATCTAAGCAATTAGTACGCTCTGTCATAAATTTTCAAAGACTATGTGTGGCAATTTAATAACATAGTCCCACTCTTAACCTTTTTGGCTGTATGGTACTGCAAAATTGGGCCAAGATCAATAAATAAAAGTCCCACTTCAAAAAGCTCTGAAAGTGCTATCCAGAGAGAAAAACAGAAGGTCTTTAGTTACACCTCTCTCTTAGACTTGCCACTACTAGAGACCTTCGGTGGGTAGTTTTGTTTTATTGAATGTAGCGCAGTGAAACTCTAGACATCCCTCTGAGAAATCTATCACTGGACTTTGACCATGAGTTTTCTTGCCAGCCCTGAATACTAAAAGCGATATGTTGTGACCTTTTGCCAAAGTGCTGGCTGCAGGGATCTACGACAGCCTCGCTTTTTTTCCTCTCCTTCCCTTTGAAAATCATTTCACAGGGCACAGCTGCTACAAGGAAACAGAGATCCCCAGTCTGTCAATTAAGATGAGTGACAAATCAGGACATTTGTAGTCTGGAGACATTCTCTCAACCCCTCTGTCTCCACAAATCATTCTCAGTCCAATCTCAGTTGATTCTTTTTTTTGGCTTAGCTCAATTCACTTACTTCAGCTTTGTTCAAATCCATAACAATAAGTTTCAGTAATCCTACAAAGAACATGTGTACTTGCTACTAATAAAAAATGTGATACACAAAAGACCAAAGGTGACTGTAAAGGGTAACAGGAAATAGATTAATAGTCTTGGTTTAAAGTGTCCCTTGCTCACTATACACAGTGTTTCAGGCACTTGCAGTCGGAGGTTTATCTCCAAAGGGGCTGGAAATTACCTTCTCAAGTGTGGGCAAATAAAACACACAATGACCATTTAGTGGAAAAGATGAGTCACATCAAGGTAACAAAAATGCAAAAACCTCTATCTCAACATTTCTCCCTTGAAAATGCAGCTTTTACTTTCATCGAAACAAGTCAAGAGCTTTCCCCAAAAGCCAACCATCTCCTTTCATTCACACAATTTCAATCAACTTTCCTCTAAGATTGAAAATGGAGATGACGCACTGCACTTCTATGATTGTGTCAAGATTCATGTCCAATACATTAAGCTACAAACACACCACAGCTCTAAAAATGTTGTGGCTGATTCCTGCGCCATGTCCTAGTAGCGCCACGCACCCTGTCATAACCACGCTTACTAATGTTAATCTGAGTGCCACTCCTCTGACAGAATGAAATCCTGAAGTCCCTGCGAAGCTCCTCGAGTTGAGCTGTAGCTAGTCAACATAATCTGCAGACGTTGAGTGACGCCGATGTGTCTGTGCCAAACATGACATTCCAATAGAGTCCTCCCCTGCTGCTCAAAGCTCCAAAATAGACATGTTAGAAATGACAAAACCAGCAGGCGAGCCCAGCATTGTCTCGGCATGACCTCAGTAAGCGAATGAGAGTGAACAGTGGGGACAGACCAGACAGCTCTTATAACTGTCACTTTAAACACAATATCCAGACTGAGTTTGCAGAAAGGCTTTTTATTCAATTTCAAGACAAGAGTGTGCTTATGTGTCAGTAACCAAAAATAAGGTGTTTAAAAGTTAAAGGGTCTTTGTTTAAACCACGGAATGCTTTCCTATTTTGGATAAATCAGAACTACTCATGGACTAAATGCAAGTTTTTTGCCATCAGTTTAATCCTGATGTACATCATTTAATAATGAGACTTTTTTTTACTCTTTTCCCTGCCACACAATGACGATGAGTGACAATGTACGAAATAAAAGGACCGAAGAAGATCCCTCTTTGCTCACCAAGCCCTAAAGCAAGACTTCATAGCACTTTGATCTGATGAAGGCTGTTCTCCCATCGTTAAAAAGCTGTTTTAGCAGACTGGTCATTAAAATATGGCAAGCACTGGCTGACATGTCCATCCAGAGGCAGGCTACTTGCCTCATCATGTTCTTTAATCATCGGGTGGAAAGAGAGCATCCCACACTGGGGTCACTTTCAACGAGCTGCACTCTGAATGGTCTGAAGAGAGTCCAATTAAATCCTACATTTTCTGACCCAAGAGTGACTATGTGATGGAATCTGAGAGCTGCTGCTGGATGGATTGAGCAGAAAGAGAGTGAGAGTGATTGCAAGCCTTCATCCCCAACATACATAGTCACATGCATGCATAATTTCTGTATGCATCAGTGCATAGCCACAGAAAAACTCGCAAAACATTCTCCCCGGGCCACCTCTGTAAATAATGTGTTCTTATTTAACTTGCTTGGTTAAATAAGCATTCAGAAGGAAAGAAAGAAGAGTGGGGCAAAGCATCTAGAATCAGATACAAACAGCAGGAGAGAAGCAGTTATAGAAAACGAGAAAGCAACAATGTCAGGACTCTTAATCCCTAGGACACATGAGTTATCAATCTGTTGTAAATGTCAAACGCGGGGATATGCCCATGTGAACGATGGATATCTGCCTTGTTTGTTTGTGTGTGCACATTTTTTTTTAAATTCATCTTTCCTACATTGTATTATTGAGTAAGCCCCACAAGAGCTTAGAGTCTATCTTGAGCGGCAATACTCTCTCTTCATAGAGCCATCAGTACCTGAATCCCAACAACCTGAGCGGAGGTGGTGCAGCAGAGGAAGGCAAAGAATGAGAAGATTGTCATCCTGAGACTGTCACAGTCTCCTGATCCATGTTCAGAGTACATATGTTTGAACATATATACTCTGAACATGCCTGAATAAGAGGTCAAAGAGACACAGTACAAGAGTTCCACTTTGTGCAGTGTGTGATGAAGCTTTGAAGTGTGAAGAAAGAGGACAACCCTCAGTCAAGTTCATCATGTTTCCATTTTCATTTTCTAGCAATTTTCCAGGCTCTACTTCAGCGAGGAACCCCTGGAGCAACAGCAAGGACCCATGGTGCAAACTCCTGACCCCACTAAATGTGCGTTTGAATCAAAGTGACAGTAATGTACACGTTAATCTCCCGGAGCAACTAGGTTTTCTTTTAGAATAGTTTAAAAAAAGCAACCGACTTTAGCATAACAGCATAAAAAATAAAACACCCTGCAGCTCTGTGATAGGTGGATAAAAATGAAAGGAAGAATGCCTGAGGTTACAGTAGACTCTCTTTCTGGGCACCGAGTCTCCACAGAAATATTACAGGAGATCTTGTGGGATTATTGCGCTGAGAATTTGACTCATGAAAAACAGATAATAAAAAAAGAAGATAAACGCCACCGATTCCCTGTGAACTGCCACACTTGGCTCCGCTCAGGCTGCATAATTCTCAGAAAACCAATTAATTTTCAACATTTGATACTTTACCTCTCTGTGCCCGCTCTAATCGTTGCATTTCAATATGTATGTATTTGTTTGCCGCGCTTGTTTGCCGTGCAAAGTTTAGTTTCCTGCGGGGAAGAGTGATTAATTATTTTGTACTTATTAATCAGCTTAACGTTTTAACAGCTTGGCTCGTAATGGCACGTGACATCAGAGGGGCTCATTATACATGTTCAAACTGTAAAACAAAAAAACAGCAGTAAAAAAAAAAAGAAATAAATAAGAGTATTCGTTAAAACGGTCTTTTTTGAAAACTTGAGAAACCTTAAAATGTGTCTCATTAGATTCTAGACTTCACCCACATCGGTGTGGATGAACTTAATGAAGTTTGATATACGTTAAGTGTGGGGAAAAACTAAGCCTATTTTAAATGTTTATTAAACGTGAGAGTGGTGCCACATTTAACAGAGCTCAGCATCTCACTGATGTGAAGCCTAATGAGAAAATTGTGGGCTACGTGCAAAAGGATGAAGACTGCAAAACTCCGGTGCCACACCACACCGGAAAGGGTTCCATGTTAACATCTAACACAGCAGGTAGCTACAAACACCAATGGGCCGGTGTGATCGGTTCATCGATACAGTAGCGATCCAACACTCTTCTTACCTTGAGGTTGTGCGCAGTGGATGAGTAAGGAAAAAAATAAAATCCATGCGACGCGCCACATCGATCTGTTAAAGGAGTCCTCAAACATGGTCCCAAACCGGGAGGACTGGACAACAAGTGCCCGGTGAGCTTTAAGCATGCCGTAGTGGCCGAGTCCCGCCGTGGCTGTGGTGCCGTTCGCCTGCTGCTTGATTCTCTCTGTCAGGAGGACCTGCGACCACTAAAGTCGAGCAGAGCGCACCGACCTCGGAGCGCAAAACCAAGCCTCTGCCGTAGCCTGTGGTGACCGGAGAAATTCGGTCAAACTGTGTGTTTGTTTTACAGTCTAAGTTCGCTGCAGTTCCACGAGCCTCGTTGATGGTAAAATATTTCCGTAGGAGTACCGAAACAGAGCGCGTTTGTTTATCTGAAGGATGCAACTCAATCAGATGAATCCAGGTTAAGTCCAAGTACAGTCTGTCTCTTGCTGCACCTGTAAGAAGGAAAGCTGCACCTAATAGAACACCTTTCCCCACTTACACGTCGTGCGTCCTTGAGATGCTGGTTTGTTCTTTTTCTTCGTCTTCTCTTTACTTAACTTCCTCCTTCGCCTTGTCCCCGGCGGAGTGCTTAGGTGTTTTTGTTCTGTCTCTTTTCTTCTTCTCCAAAGCACAGAACAGACTTTTCCTCGAATCCTTTCCTTTCTGAAGAGGAGCGCCACAAATGGAGCACACCCCCCGTAAAGTTCCTCCCCAGAGCGCACCGTCAAGGTCGCCAATTTGCTTTGACAGGAGCGGAGAAGAACTACAGCAGTTCGCTGAGCGGAGAATGGGGGGCGGTGGGGAGAGAAACTTGCATGCAGTCACAGGATGAGAGTGGGAGCCGTGCCGTAGAGGAAAGCCCGGTTGCCGGTGCCTCGGATGAGGACGAGTCCCGGGTTCTTCGTGAGGTAACGCTGGGATCTGATGCTTCAGCAGCAGCGCAGCGCATGATGCCACCATGCGGCCATGCGCAAAAACACATCTCTTGTTACAATACAGCCAAGCACATGGTTTCAGGAGAGGATTTTATTGCTTTCCACATTACACAAAGGTGGAATGAATATAGTCCTTTGTTAAAATGATTTAAGGAGCATGCGTCCGGCTTGTGCTGCCAAGAATGTAGTGGTTCTTAGGGTGCCTGTGGAGAAATCACTATGATATTTCTGCAGGGATTTATAGGCTAATGTGTCTGAGTTTACTGACCTTGTAGTACTTTTTATCCCCCGTGGTATCATTAGAGGGATTTATATTTTGGCTGCATTTTAATACTTTGAGCTATGATACTGTATGTTTTTGTAGCACTTTCTGTATTGCTCTTTTCCTTTTTTCGCTGAGGCTACAGGATGTAATTCTCGATGCTATTTGAGGTGCATGGCATGAATATAAAAGGCGCAAATGGGTGTGCTAAGTCGTTACACAGCCAAGACTGAAACTGCTGCACGTTATCTTCTCTGTGTGTAGGAGAAGGAGGAAGACAAGGAGGAGGAGGAGGAGGCTGTGAGAAGAGAATCGTTGGAAGACAGAAGGAGGAAGAGCAGAGAAGGGTGGTTGGTGAGCAAATGTTTCCAAAATGACAGTATCACTAAAGTGGAAGTCAAGGAAGAGAATGAGAGAGCCTGACTGAGCAAATGTTCATGTCCTGAAAATGACAGTGCCTTGCCAGGAGAAAACAGGAGTGCTTAGTGTTTGTAATGTTTGGTTTTTTTTTGTTGTTGTTTTAACAAATGACGAGGCCCATCTAAGCCACCACAGGGCAGCTTGGAAATAATGCACCATGATAATAGCTTCTGCTATTTCCGCACAAGAGTTTCAGCTTCCTTTTGGCTTTCTCCTTCTTATTCAAAAATGCGATACCTTGCACAAAGTTAATAATAGGAGAGTTACCATCATGAAAATCAAGATGGAGTGCTTCCCTGGCCAGCCTTAGGGCATCTCAGAAAACCAGTTATGATTTTTCAAGTATTTACTGTGACTGAACTCAGCAAGAGGGTAATTTTGAAAATCCCTGGACACAGTATTTTGAGCCATAGTTTTCTGCAGACAAGTGGTGATCCATTTGTTTGTGCGTTTGTGTCTGTCTGTGTGTGTGTGTGTCCACCCCGCACCCCTCCTTTCCCTGCAGATGCCAACAATGCCAGGTGTTAGCTCCTGGTGTTGTTGAGCAACGGCTAGCTGTGATCACAGGTGCTAAAGTAACTTAGTGCAAGCTGTACTCACTTCAGAATGAGACATGTTATTTTTAACTAGCCCACGTAGTAACCATGCAACTGGTAATGATGATCAAGAGTTAGTCGGGTGCAGTAATTTCAAGTTATACCAATGTTTAAAACACACAGTTAAATGGCATTTTTGAAAAAAGGAGTTAAGAGAGTTAGAAAAGAATCAAAAATGTGAAGTAAGTGGAGAAAATGCATTCAATTTTCTCTAAATGACCAAAATGGTATCATTGCAAGTTCTCAAATGCGTGTGTGTGTGTGTGTGTGTACACATGTTTAGACAGCTTTGTGAGGACAGAAAATTGGCATGCTGCTATACTTGTGGGGACCAACAGTCACTTATGGGGGAAAAATGCCTGTCTCCACAAGTTTGAAGGCATTTTTGAGGCTCAAAGTGTGGTTTTACTCTCAGGGTTACAATTAAGTATGGTTAGGTTTAGGCTGAGGGTTACGATAAGGCATTCATTTTTGATGGTTAGGGTTAGGGTAAGCGGCTTGGGAAGCATTATGTCAATGCAATGTCCTCACTAAGATATGAAAACAAGTGTGTGTGTATCTGTGTGTGTGTGTGTGTGTGTGTGTGTGTGTGTGTGTGTGTGTGTGTGTGTGTGTGTCTTACCATTGATCCTCACAACTGATTTTCATTCATTTTTTGTTTTGCAGAATGATTGGACATTATTTCAAGTGATGAAATGCATGATTTGGAGCAAAATGCCTTTAAAACACATAAAAAAAACCCCCAATGGTAAGTTTTGGGTTATTTTTGGTGATATGTTCACACCTTTTGCTCCACAGCTTATCAAAGAGCACATTTTTGTTACCTATTTCAAAATGAACCTTTGAGTGTGAAGTGCAGCATTGACCACTCTTTTCATTTCATTTCAATCAACAAAATAAAAGACGGGCTAAAATTTCCACCTCTCTTTTCGGAGGCCTTAAGGAGAGCAACACATTAAAAGAAAAAAAGAGATGGAGAGACATCTTTGAATGACAAAAGGCATTGCTGTTTGCTCAGACCAAAAGTCTGACTGGCAGTTCTGACTTTCACCTGCATTTGGTAAGAACTTGAAAAGCATGACTACATATAGATGGGAAAAAAACACAGCAAAAGCTTAAAAAGTGAAGTGATATCAGAGGAATTTTCTATTATGCCCAGATGGAAAGCGAGAGAGGTCAGAAAACCAAGAGGAAGATAGGCTGGAGGGAAGACTCTTGAATGCTTCAGAAAGGTCCCTGAACTCCACCTCCTCCTCCACACACACACACACACAAACATTTCCTACTCTGCTGTCCTGATATAGAACTAACCGATATAGAACTAACCCCAGTGATAACTGGAGAGTACTACTGGATTCATTAACCTCCAACAACATTTTCGTATGGGATAATATAGCTTGTAAAATGATGACACGTAAGAAAAATAAAGTAGAGCAGCAGATCCAGGTCCTTAAAGGGTTTACAACTATTTATCAAACATTTCTCACACCATTAATATTTCTCTGTCAGTTAGAGCTTGGATAGGCATCAAAGGAATATGGATTTTCTTAACCAAAAGGAAAGCTCCATCCTCTCCTGCACCACTCTGGCCAGTCTTGCTAGAGGTTTAATGAACTGGAACGAGTGGGGGATAATGGGAATGCAAGCACAGCGGGAGACCAATGGGGTGATGAGTGGTTCTTATTACCTGTGAGGCCAATTACAATAAAGATCTGTCAAAATGTCCCTTTGACAGAGGAAGGCCCTGCTGACCATCTGAACCACCCCAGTCAAAGAAACACAATATAGAGAACAGAATAGTTTAGATGAATTATTATGTTCATTTAGGTTCAGGCCAGTTAAAGTCTTGGAATCTTTAGGAACTTGCCTATAAGCAGTCTTAGTCGTACTCAAACTGCATGTCGGGTTTTGTTTTTTGTTTTTTGACACACACGCACACACGGAGTATATAAATGTTTTAATGAGTTCAGAGATGAAATTCATATGCATGTACCACCTACCGCAGTCAAACAACCTTGCAGTCTAATTACTGTTCTCATAGAATAATGACATCCTGGGCTCACTATGCTTAATAAATAAACTGCTACCCTTGAGTGAAATTTTCATTCGTACATTACTGCAAAGGTTGTGATATCTATCTATCACATTTACAAGGCAAGACGTGGAGGCAAAAAGGGTAACATTGCATTGCATTTCTTAAAAACAACTAATATTTGAAAAAAATGTCATTCTAATTTATGTAAGAACCTTTAATCATAGGCATCTTCGCAGATGGAGAGGAGTAAAAGAAAAGAAATCCAATAGTATTCATTAGTGAGAGAGAGAGATCATTCAAAAAGCTGTTTGTGTGAGACAGATGGTCAATATGGAAAAGAAATATGTAAAGCAGAGCTGTGCCAACCTTGGCAAAGGAAGGCTTGCAACGCAAAAAGAAAGGTAAAAAACGTAGGTGTGGAACTTGTGGAAGAGAGAAAAAAGAAGCAGAGAACTGTCTCAGGCAAAGAAGTGGTTTGAGGTACAAACACAAGGAACAGGTGAGGTGTGTTAACAAAATATTAGTCTGTTTGTTGTTTTTGATTTTTCTGCTTATAAATTAATATCTCCTGCCTCACAGGAAATACACCACCTCCCCTTCCCTGCACTGCTTCATATCTTCCACATCTACTAAAATGCCTGAATGTTTTGTGGTTTTCTTGCTTAGTTTATGGATATAATCACGCAGCACCCGTGAAAAGATTGCAGTTGACTGCATCAGCCTCTGATTCACATATGCGCTTTGCTCCCTTTCTCACTCTCACGCTCTCAAGAGAGTAAGCTCTGACTAACACCAGTTTACATGGTTGGTTCACCCAAAATCTCCCCCTAAAGATAGCATGCCTTAGAGTATAATGTCATCTACCTTTATTTAAAAATATATAGAATATGGTTGTATTCACATCAGCTTTGCAAATAACCTTGTAGCAGTTGCTACACTTAAGAATAAAAAAGTACCTTGTTGAGCAAACTTTGTGGGGTTTTTTTTGTTTGTGTTTTGTTTTGCTTTTTGCAATCCCCACAGAGAGGGCAGTGGACTTTTTAACCAGATTGTTTAAAAGAATCTTTATAGTGAGAGGATGTCTGAGGAATAGAGTACTATACAATAGTCTATTGGTTCCAGTATTCAAGAACAAAGGTTTTGTGCAGAGGTGTAGCAAATGGGGGATAAAATTGATGAGGCATGCCATAAAGATGTGTGAAAGAGTTGTTGAAGCTGGGTTAAAAAGAGAGGTGGCGATCAGTGAGCAGCTGTATGGATTCATGCTGATACAGAGCACTACAGATATGGTGTCTGCTTTAAGTGTAGATAGAGAAGTATAGAGAAGGTCAGAAAGAGTTGCACTGTGTCTTTGTGGATTGAGAAAGTATGTGATTGGGTGCCAAAAGAGATCAAGGTAGAGGTGGGATTACATCGGGGACTGGCTCTGAGTGCCTTCTTGTCTGCAGTGGTGATAGACAGGTTGACAGATGAGGTCAAGCAAGAGTCTCATTGACTAAGTGATTATGATGTTTGCAGATGACATTGTGATCTGTAATAAGAGTAGAGTGCAGATGGAAGTGAGAGTCTGAGAGTCAGGAGATGTGGAGGTATGTTCTGGAGAGGAGAGGAATAAAAGTCAGTAGAAACAAGATATAATTTGTGTGTG